CCCCCTAAATGTTCACTTCTCCATTTAACGTTATTGAATATTTCTGCATAATATATATTTGATGTATTTCATCACATACTTGGACGTGTGGCTCTCAGGCACTGGGATGATCCTCGTGTAATTATAAATCATATAAGGAGGTCACAGATTTGATCATCTGTTATCCAAAAGCTTGTTTGTTGAATGTGATCGCTGCGAAGTTCTAATCAGAGTCGATGTTTCTGTTTCTGGGCCACCTGCACACTCACGGTTAGTGCTGACATTTAAAACAGGTGACAGTCACGTGTGAGTTACTGAAGAAGATACGAAGATTTGTTATTAGTCTGCACAACTCAGAAATCACCATCATCAGAAATCACCATCCATTCTCAGGAAATGCTTTTGGCGTGTCCATTAGTAGAAAAGGTTTAAATATTTTTCTCCTTTTAAATAAATCAATAAATCAATAAATATCTGACATTTGTAAAAAAGCTAGTTAAGTTAAGAAATTACAAGTTTGTCAGTGTTGGAGAGAGACGCTGGTGAGAAAAATAACTTCATTAAACCAATAATTAGAGTTTCAAGATCTCAAGTTACTTTTATTTGCCTCCTGGGTGGCCCCCAGCATGGGCCCCCAGCATGGGCCCCCAGGGTCCTGAATATCCTCTGGATGATTTAGTGCAACTCAAGAAAACTGACAAACTATTAGAGGAAAAATGCTGAGTAAATAAAATCCTTCTTTCGTGATCTAAATATCAGGAACATGTGACCTCTGCTGTAGCCTAGCTCCACGCCTTCTCCTGTTTGTGAGCGCCCGTTTAAGGCTGGTTGCCTGCTGCATCCTGAGCACGTGTTCAGGGTGAAGAGGCGTCACATCGTCTTCCAGGTGTTTAATCAACTAATCAACAAATGTAGCGTACACGGTGGCGTACACGATGGTGTACACGGTGGCGTTCACATTGACTCAGAACATCTGCCCCTGGCTTCTTCCAGTGTGGAGGAGCAGCAGCTCTGCTCCAGCCGGGTCCTCTGGCACGTACTGTTTCCCACATTTCTCTGAATGTCTGTTGACGTGTCATCATCTCTGCAACGGTTTTGTTGGACTCTTTGACCTCCCCCAGGTCAGGCTTCAGCGTCGATGACAGTCGTCGTCTGCAGCTCTGATGTCAGTCTGGGCTCGAAATGCTTCCTCACTACTTTCCTCGATCTGTGCTGAAGCTCCAGGTCTGATCCAGAGGAGTTTCTCATGTCCGAGTGTGCGCTCGTGTTGACGTTTGTAAAGCTTAGCTGTTTATTTCGGAGCGTGTAGTCCCGAGGGGAAAGCTCTTCGTCTTTCATTCATCAGCATCAAACTGCATCGTCTGCCCTTCCTCTTCTTCACACTGACTTTATAAGCTGGTGTTTTGGATGCTGTGTGCAACACAGTGTAACTGGTATTATATAGACTTTTATAAATTATAATGGAAAAGTTGTTTCTTGCTGATTTTATTTTTCACTTGTAGCTCCGCTTTTCATTTGCACTCTTTGTGTCTGCGCTCCATCCACGGACACTCCGCTGTGATAAAGGACTACGTCACATGTTGATCCCAGCGAGCTCATCAGTTTGTGGTTTAATTACAGGAGACCCCCCCGAGGAGGCCGTGTGACTCAACCTCCTATAAATCTGACAGATTTCAACATGACACTGAATATTTCCGTGCATCGTCTCGGTTCTGTGGTTTTCTCTTCAATAGATCAACGTGACAGAAACACTCAGGAATGCAGAAAAACTTTATTGACAACAGATCAGCTTTGACAAAAACACACTCGGTCTCACTCACTGACCTGCAGTGGGACTCTGTGTGGGGTTTGGTTTCTAGTCTTGTGCAAACAGGCTGGTGCTGCACACCAACACCTTTCACCTGTGACTGAACATACAGATCAGAGTGGGCGGAGACAAAGGTTCATCCTCCTCTCTTTGAAAGAGAGAGCAGTGGAAGTTCAGCAAAAATCTTCACACGAGAAACTCGACGGTGACACAATCCTGCACCGAGCTCACTGGTCAGCTGTGAATGTGTAGAGTCTAAAAGCAGCCTCAAAGACGATGCTGCTGCTGGGCGGAGCTAAAAGAATAAGCCTGGTATAACGCTGTGCTGCAAAGTAACAGAAACAGAAAACAGGCGTCACAATAACAGACCTCATGCTTCTTCAGACTGCAGCTGAAACAGCCAATCAGGAATCTCCTACCTCCTTCAAACTGTTTTAATACTCTTTAAAAAGCTTTTAAACTCCAGTCAGTGATTTACCAAAGTGACAGGAACAGAAAGGTTTCCACAAACATCTGTCATGACCTGAACTCGCCGAGCTCAGGGAGAAGAGAGACTGCGTTTTACCCTCGGCTTTACCGTCGCCCTTTAAAAACAACTTTGTTGGCTTGAACGACACAACCTGCACACGCATGAAGCATTTGTGCACCAGCTGTCCATCATTGTTGCTGTGTTAGCGTGACTTTAGCAACAGTCGCTCACAGATAATCGCCCCGCAGTTCCCCGGAGCTCAACCAGGTCACTGAGGGTCTCAGAGAGGCTTTCAAAGATCATCATGTGTCATCCAATCACAGTTCGATGTAGATGCAAAAGTGAACGCCTCATTGTCGTCCTGAGCGCTGTTCTTGAACTTCACCTTTTCAGCTTCTCGACCATAATAAACATGCTACAGATGAATGTTGAATTGAAGGTGAATGTGGTCGACTCTGCAGGCCTGGATGGTCTTCAGCTTCTTTGGCTTCAGTTTTTAAGGCTTCACTGTGTGTTTGATGAATATCAGTGAGAGTTCAGAGCGACGAGGATCAACGTTCACACTGGAACTCAGTTTCTGTGGCGCGCTTTGAGCTCTGGACACCACTCAGTGTCAGGATACAGGAGGCAGTGGACCGTCTTAAACCTGTGAACACACAGGGTCAAAGTTCATTACAGGAAACCATCAACAACAATTAGAACAGC